GTAAATTTTCTATCCAGAGGAAGGCTTTGTGGTGGAATAGAGAAAAAGAAAGAAAATAATTTAAACTAACAATAAGTGTCTAGTTTCTTCTGACGTTCTTGGAGAAGTTAAAGAGCTGTTATCAACAGTGGCGTCTAAGGGGCTCAAAGGGGTCAAGTTTGATATTAGAGAATTATTTCAAATACTCTTTAAGTTTTCTGATGTATGCTTCACTATGGTGAGATGCATGGTGAGTTTTGGTTGGGTGTTTGGGAAACATTCATTTTTTGTCACATAGAGAAGCACCTGTTTATGCAGAGTCAACTCACAGACAGAACTACCCTGAGTAAATTATCAATAACTGGCTTATTATTGACTACTTACTATGTGCTGAGTTTATTTTTACACACGCCATCTTTAATCCTTCCAATAAATGCTACCAAGTACCATTTTAAGACCCATTTTACTGACAAAGAAATTGAGGCTCAGAGCAGTTACAGTGGATGTCAGGATTTGAAGGCAAGTTCTTCCCTTGCTGAAGTTCTTTCTGCCATAATGTACCACCTAGCTTATTTTCTCTTGATAAGAAAATTACAAAACGAGCACAAGAAGGATGTATGTAGAGAGCTTTTTAAAGCTGCCCCCCATTTAGTATCCTCCTCACCCCCATATTTCAGAGGCAACCTATAGTAGCAATCAGGTGTGTGTTTTTCACAATCTTAGATAGTGCCACGAATAATACATGTTCATTACAGGAAAGTCAGGAGGTGCAGATAAGCAAAAAGAAAGATAAAATGTCACAATTTGAAATAAGTTGAATACACCAATGTGTTTCCTTTCTGTTGTATGTGTTCGTGTATGTGTGCATGTGTTTGTGTGTGTGTGTGTTTATGTGCATGTGTATCTGTTTGTTTTCAGAAAAATATTTATTAAACACTTGTCACATGGCCAGTCCCACAGGGAAAAATAATGCCGGGGAAAAGAAATGAACAAGACCTGGCACAGATTCTAGGTGTCACAGTCTTGGGGTACTGAAGAGTTACAGTCACCTAATGCAGGGCTCTCTGATCTTTGTTTTCATTGTGGGCCAAGGAAGATGGTGTGGGAGACTGCTGTGTGGCATGAAGCATTCTTTGTGGGCATATTTCCTATGGGTCCTATGTGAATTCCTCCCAAGAAATTTATGCTACAGTTCCCATTGTACAGATGAGAAGAACGGGGCTCTGGGAAGCTTGTAAGTGGTAGGAAAATTCTCTATTGCTCACTTCTCATCTGCTACAGTCTTCCTAGTTGTGGGTCAGGCCTTGTCCACAGAGCAGTGGAGTAAACTCCTGGGCATAGGACTGTGGGAGGGACAGTGAAGTATATGGCTCCCTACAGTCCTTAGAGTTAAATAAATCTGGATTCTGGTCTTGGTATTGTCATTCCCAAGCTGTGTGTCCTTGGGAGGGTGACTTCACTTTTCTGAGCTTCAGTTAGCTTATCTGTTAAGTGAGGATCTTTATCCTACTTACCTCATAGGGTGAGGCTGAATGGGCAAATCCATGTGAGTCTCTTATAAGAAGCCCAGTGCTAAATAAATTGTTCAAACAATTATTACTGGTTACTGTACTATAATTGCCTTTGGAAAATCTAAAATTTGTTTTTTTGGTAGGAGTAGGTGTCACCTCACCTCAGAGGTTGTGGCTCTATTTCTGTTCCTGATTGCCTTTCAGCACAGTTGGGTGACACTATTGTTCCAACAGCCTTGAGAAAAACAAAGCTTACTCTGTAGCCTCACAGGCTTCTCTTGTTGCTATGACAACAGAAACAGAAAGGAGATATGATTATGGGGGAGTCTTCTTTGGGACAAATTCTAGGTAAACCTTGGTTTTCTGGCATGCTCAGGACTTTCTTGATTCCAAAATCTTCCCGATTCTGGCTTTACTCTGCTCTTTACCCTTGGTCTCAAAGCCTATTCCTCTCTTCTCTCTGCTTACCTGATTCTAACCCACCTTGTGCTTAGCACAGAACCTGATACTCAATAAATAATTATTAAGGAGTGAATAGGTGATGGAGAAACACTGAAGGTCTGGCAGATAAAGAGAGTATTGGAGGAATGTTGAAGAAGTCAGTCCTCTGGGTCTTGATCACCAGCTCTGTGTGAGGGGGATAAGAGTAACATCAACTTCTGGGGTCACTGTGATAGTTGAATGTACAGCGTACGACACTTGGCATGGGGCTCAGTGTGTGGAAACTGCCAGTGTTATCCCCTTTTGCTTCTGCTTTTTCTCTTTTGTGAAGCGTTTCGGTGTGGTTTTCCACATGGAGTCACTTAATTGAGTTAGACAGGAGAAAGGCCCTCTTCTGTTCTGATTCTTTTCCCCACTGCCTGGATGCCCAGGGAATAATATTCAGACACTGCCACTTGCAGCCACTTCTCCACCTTCACAATTCTGTCCTGCCTTCTTTCAGCCTTGTACCAGGTACGCTCTCACCTACAAACCCTATGACAAATTCCTCCACTTCCCCAAAGCACTCTCCTTTCCCCTAATTCCCTTCCTACAGCTTATTGAGGCCAGAAATAAACGGTGAAAACACAAGAGGACCCCATAGCTACATCCAATGGGATATTTGATTAGAATTCACAAAAAGCATCCTACAGCCAATCAGTCTTGCTCAACACAGAAAATCTGATCAAACACAACCTGGACACATAGGTTGACCAGCTGCCCCAATGGACTGGAACCACAGATTTCTTCCACTGCCAAAGGAGGGATTGACGGACATTGCTTATAATTCAAGTTCTTTGGTCACTCATCCATCTGCAGAGCAACACTGTGAGTGTATAGTTCATATTACAGACCCATTTTACAGATGTAGGAACTGAAGCTCAGATAAATTACTGAAGAGAAAACTGATTTGGAGGGAATTGGCTTTGGAACAAAAGATACTGCTATTTTCTCTGGCATTATGGATATGTGTGGAGATATTGGGGTTTGCCCATTGGAAATTAAGATGTTAAATTTGATTTTAGATGTAAATTTCACATCATGCAAAATTACTTCCCCTTAGAATCCCCTGGAAACAGAATTAGAGCTTGAGGAGATTGCAAAAGAGACAAGGGGAAAACCTTCTTATTCAATAATGAAAAAAGTATTTCCAGCTCTGACAATATTTACAGAGTTTGTAATTAAGGGTTGGTACAAAAAATAGAGGTTTCTTTAGGAAATAAATGATACGGCCACTTCTTCAGTAAATTTTCCCAGAAAACTAGAACTATGTGAACACATCCATGAGGATGCCAATGGGAAATGAAGGAGGGGAAGAAGGATGAGGAGGAAGAGGAGACAATAACAATGATGACAACTATTACATATTTCTGGAGGCTGGTTACTATAATCACCATGTTAAATGCAATTCTGCTTTACACACAACTGAGATGTAGATAATTTTAGCTTCATGTTTTAGGTGAGGAAACCTAACTTCAGAGAAGTGAAGTGATCTGCCTAACATCACACAGCTAATAAGATTCAAACCCTGATTTGTGTGAGTTTAAAGCCCACTCTACTTCAATAGAAATATTGGGTGTAGATCTCAGGGTTTCAGCAAAAAGTTTTCCATAGGGAGCTCTGCATCTTGCAGTGAAAGAAGCCAGCTCAGCTAAAGGTTCCACATTGAGTCTAAGTAAAACAGCAGTTGTCCATAGTGTCCAGGAAGGACAGGAGGCAGTAAATGCAGAAGTTGTATGTAGAAATCTCCTCATCTTAGTTCTCATTTTATTTTTTCAGCACCAGAGGCCTCCAAGTGCACTTTCTCTAAAGCCTAAAGGAGGGGAAGATTCACCTGTGTCTGCACTAGGGCTGGTATCTGAGCTCTGGGGTTAGGTTCTGTCTGCATTTTGATGGTGGTGCAGGCACCAGACAGTCCCACTGCCCTCCCCAATCCACCCTGAGGTTTTGGTTCAGGAAGAATTGTTGTCCAGTGGGAATAAGCAAGATGCCCTTCTGGGAGCCAGCATCATGAAAGCAGCAAATGCGTTTTCCCTGGAGCTGACAATCCACCACAGTTGGAACACAGGGGCCCTTCATGTTTTGCTTGAGGATACAAACCTTGTTCTTGGCCATTCATTTCCTCCCAATGGGCCAGGGACTGCCCAACCAGAGCTGACCATCATATGCAAACACCTTAGGATTTAGCTCCAAAATTCTGGGGTAACCTTCACCTGTACAAGTGGCTCAAGAACTACCCATCTACCGAATGCCTTTTGGGTAATTTCTATAAATTATCTGCGTACAGAAAGAAAAGAACTTGTGAGACACATTCATAAAAACTACCATTGTCAGCCAATTATTATGCAGTCACAGGACTCAGGCTGACTCTGAATGAATGTCAGATAGGTTCTTTGACTCATGTGCTTATTTGTAGGTATGAAAAACATCTTTGGTCTCTGTGGAACAGTTCAGTGATTTCTATGTCCAGTTAAGAGCAGTGGTCAAATCCCTGCACTTCATTCACTAAGATTTGCCACAGACAGAGGCTGCAGGGGGAAATGTATATGTAAGATTCTTGCATTTCCTGAGTGGTGATGCTGCCTTCAATCCCACCCCCACACCACCCCAGCCAGGCTGCCCCTACCTCTCTGAGGTTGGAGAGAGCTCAATGGGAAGAGATAAGGGGCAGAAAAGGTCTCATTTCACTGGAATTGCTGTAAGCTGGGCTCTGAACACTGTTACTCTCTCTTGAGGACTTTGTGTAATCTTTGGAATTTTTCTCTTTTGGCTCTGAGGCACAACAAAACCTTTGTAGAAATTAGAGAAAAGATCTCAGAAATTAGAGAAAAGATACTCAGATCGGCAAATAGGTATGATCTTTTGTAAGAAACAAAGTGTTCCCCTTCATCTAGGTTTTTGCCAGTGCACATGGGCACGCACATCCAAAGGCAGAACATGGTTAGATTACTGCAATGCTCCTAAAAGAGTGATTTTGTTCAGTGCATGGACTGCACACCTGTTTGTGAGGACTCTGGGTTCATCTCTCACCTGTGGTTCTCTGGCAGTAGAGCTGTGTTCTCCACTCTCCAGTAACAACATCATCTCTGGATTTGTTTCTTCTCAGACTTTCACTCCCAGGGTCTCATCACTGCTCTGGAAGATTAAGCAAATCATTTTTCAAATATTCCCAAGTCAGGGCAGGGGATTTAGCTCAGTGGTTCCAGAGCCTGCCTCACTAGTGGAAGGTCCTGAGTTCAATCCCCGGTACCAAAAAAAAAAAAAAAAAAAATTCCCAAGTCAGCATTCTTGTGCATGCCCTCTTTCTTCTTGGGCCCTGTTTTCTCTCTCCTGTGGAAAACACTAGCTTTTACAAACTGTAACCCCTTTTAGCCAGGCTTGAGTCCTTTAGATTTCTTGGGCATGAATCACACTCCAGCCCATGAGGTTCTGCAATCTTTAGGGAACACAAATCAAGTTCCCCAGGTGGCTCTTAAAGCTCCTCCCACTAGGCTTCAGGTGAGGGAACCACACCCCTTTCTTCCCCTGTGGAGTTGGGAAGAGAAAATATTTTAGTGCTCTATCAGCTTTATCCAAAGAAATTCTTCCAATTTCCTCCCTGCCCTACACTTCAACTTGAACCCTCTTATACCCTTGAATTAGATTTAAAATGTAGGCTAAGGCTAAGATAAAACAGGTTTTGACTACCTTCTTTGCCTCTAGTCATGTTGCAAGAATTGTACTTCTCTTCAAAACATTGAAATACTTGGTCCTTACTTTCTTTCTTGGATTTCTTACCCCCAAACAGGAATGCTATGTTTCATTTTGACACTGGCAGTAGAAGTAGCCAGTGACCCATCAGAGCTGATGGCAGCAGGACTGAAAGGTCATCTTCCATGGCTAACATGGACACCTGTGTGCCTGGGGATTTCCTTGAACAGGAAGAAGACCAATCTGCCCACTTCCAAGGCAGACCAGAATTGCCAGGGAATCAGCAGCCCCTACCCACAGAATAGCCCTCAGCCTACGACTTAGAGCAATAGGTTTGTAAAATTCCCAGATCCTCATCTCTGAGTGGGATAATACAGAGGTATGTGTTCTGTATGTTTTCTCAGAATTCCATGGGACTATTTCCAGTGCCTGCAGTCATAGCTGACTTGATAATAAACCTTTTATTGCCTTCTTTCTCTTTCTAGTATCACTTCCTCCCAGTTCTCTTCCACTACATATCAAATAAGTAGCTAGCTTGCACTCAAATTCTTACCCTAAGGTCCCCTTCTAGTGGCACCCAAGCTAAGACTAAGTGTTTTGTACAAGCCCAATCATCTAACCTTGCCAGAGAGTTTTCTTGTTTTCACTGAGGAAGCAGAAGATCCCAGGGATGAAGTGCTTTAATTATCAAACATGGTAGGACTGGGATTCAGCCTCAGACTCCTGTCACTCCCAAAACTTGTTCTTTCTTTCATATCATCTTCCTTCCCAGCAGCTGTCCTCTCCAGCACCTCCTCCAGAAAGTAAATAATCCTTTAATCCACTCTAGCCTTAAAGTACATTGAATATCTCATTCTCTTGGTAGTCATGACCTTCGTTCTGAATCATTTGCCCATGCTATTCTTTACTCTCCCTTCCATCCTGATTTTAACATCCCCAACTTCTATTCTCATTCTCCCTGGATTCAATGCTGGGTGCTGCCTTCCTGGGTGTGATGGTCAGGCTTAATTGTCAGTTTGATTGGCTTGGGAATCATATAGCAGATAAGTAAAGCATACTTCTGGGTGTGTCTGAGTGGGTCATGGAAGTACAACTTGGAGAACTCTATCTGGTCTCTGGTACCTTTCTTTCTGGGGCCGTTCCCTTGCTCTGCTTCCAAGCCATTATGAAGTCAGCAACTTTGCTCTGCTAAGGGATTCCACCAGATGCTTCAGCCTAGCCAGATGATCATGAACTGAATCCCCTGAAGCCGTGAGCCAAATTTTTTCTCCTTTAAATTGTGTCAGGTATGTGGCCCAGCAATGAGAAAGCTGACTAATACACTGGACCCTGACTTTGGCTGGCCATCCATCTCCATTGCCTTAGAAGTACTCTTCCCAGCTGGATTAAGCTTCAGGACACCTGGTCATTGTTCATTATAGATGAGATTCTGACTGGTTCATATCATGGCTGTCCCTGTATGCCTTCATTCCTCTGTGTTTTAACAATCTATATCCTTAGCTGGAGTGCAATGAATTTTCATCCACTGGCTGAAATTTGAAAGCACATTTACAAAGTTGTGTACACTGGCTGACAAAGCCTCAGTCCCTATCAGGCGGACTCTGATATCGCTACTGGGAATCGGCTAAGTGAGAAGATTTTAATTGTTCCCAGGCTCATTGCATCCTCCTAATTTCCTCTAACAAGCACACACAAAGCAATGAGGAGAGATGTGGGATTGGATGACAATTCAATCCCTCGTAATGCCAGATAAATTGCGGCTCCTGCTCCACGGTATTGCATTTGCTGATGTCTAGGAGATGGTCTCCATGGATGCTAATTCAATTACACTGAAACATAGAAGGAAATTGTCAGCCAAATTGCTGCCACACTGCTGGGCTGCACCCAACTGACAATCCCAGTGCTATTTCCTGCTGATTCAGCAACAGACAGCTCTCCTAGTCTGAGAATGACCAGCAGTTGTGTTCCACCTGGCATGGTTACTTGGGTCTTCAAGAAAACTTCTTATTTTACACCTCTAAATAGAGAGAAGAGTTTTTGTTAATCCTTTCCTTGCTTTATTTCCTTCTCCATATATCTTTTGCTACATAGTATTCATCATTGAAAACAAATATGTGAAAAACTTAAAAGAAAATTGAGTTGGATATCTTGTTCACCCATTTTCAATATTGCTCTTCTTTTTAAAGTAAACATTTCATGGGCTTTCCCAAGGGATAAATGACCCTAAACACCAGGCTCACCTTTCTGAGCTTCTGTCTTTTTCTGGATCTTGACTGTTATTCTTCACTGCCTTTTCAGCTCTCCAATACTTTCAAGTAGACTTATTTTGTAAAGTCATATGATAGAAATCACTATTGCAAATATTACTCAGTAACCACTGAGGTATAATTCAAATACGTAAACTATATATGTGTGAAATGTACAGATGAAGTTTTTGGTTTATTTTTCCTACCGGGGATCGACCTCAGGACCTTGTACTTGCACGAGGCAGTCACAGTGCCACTGAGCTAAATCCCTGGCCCAAGACTGATGAGTTTTGACACATGTATTTGACCACCAAATTAAAATAATGAACACATTCATCACCCCCAAAGTATCCTCAAGGTCCTTGGTAATTTTTCCTTCTCTAATTTCTGCCCTAGTCCAACATCACTGATAAAATAGTTTGGATTTTCTAGAATTTTATACAAATGATAATGTATAGAATTTACTCCCATTTGTCTGGCTTCTTTTACTCAAAACAAGTATCTCAAGATTTATCTGTGTTTTGGTCCATGTCAAAAGTAACTCCTTTTTTAGTGCTCAGTAGTATCCCATTGTGTAGATACACTCACAATTTGCTTATCTATTCACTTGTTGGTATTCTGGTTGTTTTTAGTTTTTGGCTCTTACAAATAAAATTACTATAACTCTTTGTGTAAGGGTTTAAAAAAGTAAGAAAATATATTATTCCACCTATAAATCTTGCTTGAGCATCAACTGTAGACTAGGCACAATCCTAAGCAACGAGAATACATCACTGAACACAATAGGCAAAGGCCCATGTCTTTAGGAGTTTACAATCCTGCTTCATCTTCTAAAGAAGTGTGATTTTTACATCCATCACAAAGATTTGTTTTTTTAGAATCTAGATATTGGGTAAACGTGAACACTCAAACAGGAAGGAAAAGATGATTCATAGAAGAAAGAGCTGCATCGGAAGAGAAGAGAGGACACAAAACAGGAGGCATGCCTGGGACTGAAATTTGAGGGAATTTACAAGATAAAAGAGAAAAATTTACTGGAGTAGGCTGTGGACAGCACAATGGAAAGAAGGAAGTGAATTTCAAGTTTTGCTCTAATTTATGGATAGAATACCTCTGTGCTCTGACTTTTGCTTTGACACTTTCTTAAATGCAGTTTCAAAATTGCTTTTATTAAAAACATAAATCAACAAATATTTATTGAGCGCCTACTACATTTCCAGTATTACACAGATACAGTTTTTGTCATATCTGGCAAGCAGTTCCAAGTAAAAGAAGGACTGAACATGTAACAGGTGCATAATGGATAATGGAGAGGGATGAAGCTTTATCTGGGAAGACAGAGAAGGATACACAATGTAAATGGAATTTATGCTGAGCCATGAAGAACCAGGAGTTTATTAGGTGGAAGAGTGCTGGGTGTGAAGATAGGATCAGACAAAGGCAATGGCTCTTGAGAAGGCTTCATGGAATAAAAGAATGCAGTTGACCTGACCCCATACTGGTCCATCCCGAGGATGATACTGGGAACTCTTCCACCAGACTTTTCTCAGTAAAATCATATGTTCTCAGGTGGGTTCCTGGAATGTGGGCACGAACGTACCTTACCCTCAACCTCTGCTGTTGCCACCATCATTGAGTAGACAAACACTGAGGTAAAACCAAGGATGGCTGGATGTGTTATGCAGATTTTTGTCACTGTGATGAAATAACAGAGATGAACAAATTCAAAAGAGGAAAGATCTATTTTGGCTCATAGTTCCAGAGGTTTCAATCTATGGTCTCTTAGCCCTGTTGTCCTTGGGCCTGCAGTGAGGCAGCACATCATGGCAGGTGGTGTGGTAGTGGAGATTGCTCACCTCATTGAGGCTGGGAAGGGGGAGGGCAGGAGACACACACGCACACACACACAGAGGGAGATCAGAATCCCAATATGATCAGGGATTCTTTAATGGCAGACCCCCAATGATCTAAATTTCTTCACTAGACTCCACATCCGAAAAGTTCTACCACCTCCTGACAGCACCATTAACTGGGGACCAAGCCTTCAACACACGAGCCTTTGGGGAGCATTTAAAATCTAAACTATAATACCTATAATACTAGGGCAATGGAGTATTGTCTTTCAGATTGGTTGGTTAGTTTTTAGAATTGTGTCTTCCTTGTTCTGGATTCTGTGCTGTGGTAGCTTCGAAGCTGAAGCAGGCCAATCAGGCCTTATATGGGCAACATTTATTAGGCACCTACTGTCTACTCATCTCTGTGCCAAGTAATGGGAAGCAAAGTGAACAGCACACATGGTTCAGTTCTTGCCAATATTATGTACAAAGCCTTCTGTAATAAAGAGTTATGGCCAAGTAAAAAGACATCAACATTATCTCAATGTCCTAAAAACTGTGGCCATGTAGTTTACAGTTTGCTTTTAGAGGTTCTTAGGGAGGTCAGATAGACCTGAGTTGGATTATCAGCTCTGTCAAATAATTGGGGTGTGACTTTAGGCAAGTTCATTCTCCTGTATCTGAAGTTTCTCCTGCGTAAAAATGAGCACATAATAACCACCCTGAAGGACTGTAATGAGGATTAGAGACAGCTTGTGTGTCACCATCCTGATGAGCAAGCAGAGCTCCACAGGCTATAATTCTTTTCACCATTGTCCATTGACAGGTCTTTCTCTGCCTTTGGGTAAAACCTGGAGCAATCCACATCACTTTACTGATCATTCCTGAATCATCAAACACTCTTCAGTCATTTTCAGGCACAGAATAGTCTGTCTCAGTCATTAAAATGTCTGCTCTTAAGTAATGGTTAAAAGCTTGCATTTCATTTGAAGGTAAAGCTTCTTTCACACAAACCAACCATAAAAAGACATTTCTAAAATAATTGGAGAAGTCTGAACATATAGATGAAATTAAGGAATTCTTGTTAATTGTGTAATTGTAAAAATTATAGGTAGAGATGTATGTTAAATGATAGAAAATGAATAATGTAGTATTTGAATTTGCTTTCCAATAACTAGAAGTTTGAGAGGAAGGAGAGATTGAGTTATAAATGAGCCAAGAATGTCTATATTTATTTTATTATCTTATGTTATTATTTGAAAGCTTCCTGGAAGAAATGTTTGACAAAGATGTCAAAACGTCTCCCTTAGGCAACCACATATGATTGGCAGGTTGTATGCCACATAAGATGAGTGGGTATTGTTCATATCATAGACACTGTAGATCTATGTATTTATTATAAGAGTTCTTTGGCTGAGGGCAGTGGTATATTGCTCTAATAGAATCAGGATGTTTTGTCATATTATACTAGTAGACAAACTTCTATAATGATCCCCCTAATTATCTCCTTCTCCAAGAATTCACAACCCATGTAATCTACCACTTGGGCTGGACTTAGTGACTTCCTTCTTCTTCTTCTTTTTTTTTTTAGGTAACAGGAATTGAACTTGGGTCCTTGTGCTTGTGCAGCAGGCAGTGAAACCACTGAGCTAAATCCCTGGCCCCAGTGACTTGCTTCTAATGAATAGAATACATTAAAAAAAAAGGATGGATTGTTATTTCTGAGTTTATGCTATAAAAGGCTAGTTTCTATCTGACATTATCCCTTCTAAGACTTTTCTCTCCCATTCATTTTGATGAAACAAGCTGCTATGTTGTGAATTAACTTTTGGAGAGACCCAGATGGCCAAGAACAAAGAGCCTGACCTCTGGCCAATAGCCCTCCAGGGAGTGAATCTTTCCAACTGCTTCATGAAACTCAGAGGAGGGTCCTTCCCTGGTCCAAACTTCAGCTGAAATCACCAACCAACCAAACTCTTGATTGCAGAGAGACTCAAGGCTACAGGACCCATGTAAGCAGCACCTAGATCCTTGAGGTAATAAATGCCATTGTTTAAGAACTAGTTT